TCCATTTTTATTCAATATAATTTTTTTATATATATTTGAGATTTAGATTTATGTCTAATATGTATAAAATATTTATTAAACCATAAAGTATAAGTGGATACATTTAACATTACTTGTGTGTTTCTTGCACCTTTGGCTAAATAAGTTACATGGTTTCACATAATGGTAAATCATAAACATTTATGATAAATATTCTTTGATCTTTTAACCAACTCAGGTGAACAGGTTCATATAGGAGGAGATGTGAATATCTGAAATTAAAATAGTTTCGTATAGCGGTAAACCCTTTAATTGAAATAAATTAGATAATGTACTAGATAATGAATAAGCTTAATGTAACGTATAGATACTGCATGCTGTATATGTAGGCATATAGCCATTAGAGACTACTGAAGTTCTTGTCAAGGCGTGTTCACTTCACGCTCGAAAATTTGCTAAACAGCGCCTGGCGCTTTCCTGAAGGTTAATACAAATACACAATTGATTGAATAATAATTAACGATGACTTAAAATAGTATAAAGTGCAAGTACATACAATAATAATAATAAAAAACGTGTGATGTGTAAACTGGTGGTAAACCTGTCATTCCCAACACAATTCTGATGGAATTATCTGCTGTATCTCGCACTCCACACTCAAATCTATTTTGCATTTTTAATTTTATATATATATATACAGCGCAGATTCTGACATGGCTTGAGTGGTTCAATTAATACACCAAACGGCAACTAATAAACATTAATTTAGTACAATACTGAACTCGAAGGTGAAACAAACTCTTTAAAGTTAAATGTAAATGACGACGGGGCAGATGAAAACAAAATGTTGGAAATAAACAGAATGAATCAATTCATTCGTTAAAAGTAAAAGAGAATAACGAAAAGAGTGGTTTACAACCATAGACTGTAGAAGTGTTCAACCCCAGCCCAGACTAAGGAAGAAAAAAAAGGCAACAGCTGCAAACCTTCGATTTCTGCTGTTTCCTCCGCCGCGTTCAGGGTAATGTGCACGTGCGCCCTCTAGTCGCAGATTTCAATAGTTCACCGATTTCATCGTTTAGAGCTCTACACTGATTTATTCTTCTTTAGGGATTTGAGCGTAGACTACGTTGGGAAGTATGTATGTGTTTAACTCTGAGGATAATTAAATATCAAGATTAGATTTTTATTAACTGTCCATTGACAGCATTAGTGTAACAACTTTGTCTTCCTGGAAGGTTTCTGATCCGCTTAAGTAAAATGTCGACTCGGCGGAATACAACGCGTTTCTGTGTCCCGTCGGACAATGCATTTGATAACCTCAAATACATAACAGTAAACTAGACACGAGCTTTCTTCTGCAAAAACAAAATGTCATTTGTTAACGTCATTGACTAGAACTTTTTACATTTTGGATCCTGTAGAAATGCATTTATTCGATCATCCATGCATCCGAGGCTTGGTCCTGATGTGGTTTTGAGTGATGGGAAGTTGTTTTGGAGTGATACGTCAAAGGTCTCACCTGACCTCCAGGAATGCATCCAGATACAGCACCAAACGAGGAGGTAAGACTTGATTTGTCAAGGAATCCTGTTTGCTTGAAGGTGTTCCTTGAATGAGAAAAATTGTTGGTCCTATAGAATTTTTTTAAATTATTATTTATTTGTTTATTTTTGGTATTTCTTATATTTAGATATTTTCTGATATTTTAGAGAATGTATCTCTGTAAAAAGGCAAGATCTGGGTAACTTTAATAACTTTAATAAGGGGTTTAATAAGGGGTTAAATATGCCATGGAACCCATTGTGCAAGAGACCTAAATCAACCCTAAAACTAGATCCTAGAACTTCAAAGGAATCTATAGAATTTATTGTGCTATAAATTAATATTAATATGTCTAAATTATTATTTGAAAAATATTTAGTTTCTATTAAATTTCATTTTATGGTACTGTTCATTAAATGATTTATTTACTTACTAATTTGTTTATTTTAATCTATTTATTTTAAAGTTTATTTATTTGTTTTAATATTATTTTATTGTTATTTATTTATTATTTTACTCTGTTTATCTAAACTTTTCCATGCACTCCCTTGTGGCCCCTTGGGGGTCCCTGGACACCATATTGAAAACCCCTGCCTTAGATCACCAAAATCATATTAAAAACCTCTAGACACTATTTCAAAATGATATTTAGTTTCTATTAAATTACATTTTATGGTACTGTTCATTAAATTATTTATTTACTTACTAATTTGTTTATTTTAATCTATTTATTTTAAAGTTTATTTATTTGTTTTAATATGATTTTATTGTTATTTATTTATTATTTTACTCTGTTTATCTAAACTTTTCCATGCACTCCCTTGTGGCCCCTTGGGGGTCCCTGGACACCATATTGAAAACCCCTGCCTTAGATCACCAAAATCATATTAAAAACCTCTAGACACTATTTCAAAATGGGCAGTTAGGGTAAATTTTCTTTCTTTTACAAGGGCAGAACTTACACTATGGAACCCTTAATTTCCTGCAGGAACTCTAAAGACTGTTATTGGTTTCATAAGTAAGAAAGAAAGACTGCTTGAGTTTTTCTTTAATTACTTAATTTTAATGGCACCGCGCATAGAAGATTTGACATATGGGACATTATATAAATTTCTGAGCTAATTTTGGATTTCTTGTCTGCTTATATGTTAAAATGTTCTTCCTTTACCTGGAAATCCATTAAGATTGGGACATTTTAGATTAGATGTATTTGTGGAATTGCTAGGGTGCACCTGCTCTGGACAATCCTGGGCTTTACAGTTTATTATTGACTCTCTGTCCTGGTCTAAAATAGAGCCTGCTGGATTAAGTTTGTTGTGAAAAGTACTCATATATCTAAACCCAAGCTAGGGATTGTAAAGGCAAGGACTATTTCTTGCTGCTAGAAGCTAACTTGGTGATCTGCTTTGATTTATATTTGTTCAGTTGTTATTTTTAGATTCAGAAAACAGGTGACGGGCGTGTACATTTAGCAAGAAACTGGACTAAACTACTAGCTGAGTGTCAGAGTTTTTCTGTGACTTGACATCTTGTAGCACTGTGCATGTGGAGTTGATTTGTCCCTCAAACCCCTGCATGAAGTCGTAGGAGTGACTGTCCAGTAACTTTTCACTGATAAAAGGAATAAGTCACCAGTCAGACCATGGGAGTTGCAAACTCGAGAGACTATCAACCAACGATAACAGTTGTGCTGAAAAGTAAGTAGCTTACAGCACACAGTTACTAGCAGTGTGCAAGATAAGATTGTTTAGAGATACTACTAGAACTGCTGAAAGGTTGTTGATATACAGTAGCCTACTTATTTTTTAGTACAAGACCCTAAAGTTTGGCAGGTTTTTGGTCATGCAGCAGGTACTGTTTTGTTTGAAACCATTTCATACCTGTTCTGTCACGCCAAAGTTCCCTGTCCCGATTCGTCCTGCCACTGGAAGCCAAATTAAATGAGCATTTTAATCTCCTGTATATAGAAATTAAAAAGGATTTGTAAGTCCGTAAGATGTCAGATGGACTGGCCGTGTTTAGTGTGCTGACTTAGCCTACAGAGTCAGTTTGATTTGTGTGAGTGTGGAATTCCAGTATTACTTTAAATGTGTGAAACATGCTGGTTTATTACAGTACATCATGGATTTGGACTGTATACATTTTTTTTATGGTCTTTGTTTATCAGAAAAATGCATAATGACAAGGTAAAGTGTAGTTATTAAAGCTAAATGGTTTGATATTTGTTTATCTTTTCAAATTTAAATTGAAAGTGCTGAATGATGGAGTATATTTGTTTTGTGGCATTCTGCTCTTGTAAACTCTCATCTAACTAGGAGTGATGCATGATGGGAAAGAGGCCACTAAATCCTGTTTTGCATCACCCGATTAAGGCTTTAATCTCAGACACTATAAATAATTTGTTTTTGTTTTTTTTCCCAGTCTGTCGCAGTGGCCTCTGCAGGTTTATTACAATTGTGATGAAGATTCAAAGCACCTACAGTTTCTTTTGAAATCTGTGCTGTAATTCTGTCACGTTTTGTTTGTATACAAATGATTTAGCCACTGATGGTCTGAGCCAATAGCCTTCAAAGGGATTTCCCTTTGGTCTACATGAGCTCTTCGTCTTTAGTTGACATTGAGCTGAGCTGGCTTGACTGTTGGGATTTAGGTTGTGGTTTAGATGCTGATTTTTACTGCATTATTTCATTTGATCCATATAGCTTCATTGTCAGGGTTGGGCAAAGATACATCGAAATGTATTTTAAAATATAATACCAAATACCTTAATTTTAAGTGTATCAAAATAAACTACAAAATACAGCAGCCACACCAAGTATCAAAATAAACTACTGTATTTTTGTATTTTAAAAATACTGCAAAATACTTTTACAAGGGAGCATGACATTTCTTAGCAAACCTTCCATCAATTGGCCTATTTGATCAATGCCTTCACCATTACACTGACTCAGTTGATTAAGTAAACAGTGTTTGATAGCAACAGCTTTTCTCTGCCCGAGTCATTCTATAAATCTGACATATGCAACCAGTTAACAGATCAAATATTCACATATCCCTGTAAACTCCCAGATGAAGGTTAGTTTTAAAGTAACCAACAGTATAATTTTTAACAGTTGAATTGCGAATGACTCATAATTGTATCCTAATTTAGTTACTTGGTGTTTGGTAACGAAGGGCCTACTTTGCATCAGCAACACTGACTCAATGACAAGTCATTCATAAGAAGACAACTGATGGCACCTGTATTCATAGCAACTAGTTTCTAACTACTTAATCATTTGATTGTTAGTCATAAATATAATAATATATTATGTGTCAGGCAGTCATTCATGCAATGGTATGCAACATCATGATCCAACTAAACATCTACTTCAATTAGGGTACAATATTCAGCAATCAAATGTTTATTTATCAATCACTGGACACCTATTTGGAAGTTGAAAACAAACATTTTAGCATTACAACAGTTATTAAATGATCAGTATGTTTTGATTTTAAATGTAGCCAGAAACGTAATCAGAAAGTAGCAACAGAACTTGTCAAGGAGTTTTAACCCAACTCCAACCACTGAATCTATAGAAGTATAGAGGACATGTACACGTATACACTTATAATAAGTGCAGTTGCACTAAACACATCACATTCTATTACTCATTCATCCATGCTTCCTTTTCCACTTCAGTGTTCCAATAATTCCTGCCCACTAAAAGCTGCATGGATATATTTGCTTACCCCGACAGGCCTATCTATGTAAACGATTTAGAAAAAGTTCAGTCGATTCACACTTTATATCATCACAACGATATGTATTGTCAAGCCCGCTGGCTGCGCCGTTCTCAAGCCCGCCCGCCGCCGCTCACTCAAGCCCTGCCAGCCTCCGCTCACTCAGCCCGCAGTCAGGGATGGGCAGTATTTGAAATACATATATTTGAAATACAAAATACTATTTTGTTTTTAAATACCTTTTTGCATTTAAATACATTTAATCTTAGTATTTTTGTATTTTCAAAATACATAAGGTACTTTGCCTATCAACCTCCTTATTAGCTGATTTCCTGCAGGGATGGGCAGTATTTCAAATGCATGTATTTGAAATACTATTTTGTATTTAAATACCTTTGGAAAAAGTCAAATGTATGTTGTATTTAAATACATTTAATCTTAGTGTTTTTGTATTTAGTTTCTTTGTATACTTGTTGATCCAGGAAATCAGCAGTCTAATTAAGAGGTTGATTGGCAAAAAGTATTTTTGTATTTTGAAAATACAAAAATACTAAACTTAAATGTATTTAAATACAAAATACAAAATAGTATTTTGTATTTCAAATGCATGTATTTGAAATACTGCCCATCCCTGCCCGCAGTGTGTGACACTGTGTGACACATTTTATGGAGGACTGTTTCCTGATCCTGCAGAGTAGATGGGTCTGTGCTCAAAGGCTGTTCTAGAAAGTGGGGCAGTTCCAACTTTGCAAGGACAGTCTGGCACTTCTGACTCACAGCCTGTAAGTACATCATGAATGTTGGGGTTGGGGCAACTTGGGGGGAGGGGGAGTGTCTGAACTAAATTAGCACCCTGATAAAAGGTTGACTGGCGCAAATATTTTATGTATTTTGAAAATACAAAAATACTAATGTATTTAAATACAAATTACATATTTGCCAAAGGCTTTAAAATACAAAATAGTATTTTGTATTTCGAATACATATTTTAAATACATGTATCTGAAATACTGCCCATCCCTGTTCATAGTTCATTTAAAGGACAAACTGATTGACTAACACTATTTTTCCTCTTGTCAGTGCTCTTTTATTCTTTCATGTTAACTGAAGGCAAATCTGAATGATGCACTATTTTTTACTTTAATCAACATGTACAATTGACCATGACATCCTCACCTTATCTTATTCCAGAAAAGTCCCTCACCCAATGCTGAATGGAGCTGTACAGCTGCAGCTCACGTGCATGAATGTTGGGGTTGGGGCAACTTGGGGGGAGGGGGAGTGTCTGAACTAAATTAGCACCCTGATAAAGAGGTTGACTGGCGCAAATATTTTATGTATTTTGAAAATACAAAAATACTAATGTATTTAAATACAAATTACATATTTGCCAAAGGCTTTAAAATACAAAATAGTATTTTGTATTTCGAATACATATTTTAAATACATGTATCTGAAATACTGCCCATCCCTGTTCATAGTTCATTTAAAGGACAAGTAGTCATTAAATCGGCATTTATTGTGCAACTTTAAAGAGTTATGTGCTTAGATTAAATCTTTGCTACACATCAAAGAGAAGCTTCTGGAAAATCTGATTCTTGGAAAGGTCCACTGAATCTCATTCAGGCAAAAACTGTGATGTCACATGCAATATTTGTTGTCCTAGTTCTTTAACAAGAGATCAGGACCCTTTTTGCGAAACAGGATTTTTACAAATGTGACCCTGGACCACAAAACAAGTCTTAAGTCGCTGGGATATATTTGTAGCAATAGCCAAAAATACATTGTATGGGTCAGAATTATTGAATTTTATTTTATGCCAAAAATAAAAAATCGACCCTTATGACTGGTTTTGTGGTCCAGGGTCAGAAATGTCACCCGGATACATCGGTCTGACCACTTAATGCAACTCTAAATGATTCGGACATTGTTCAGGTTACATTTCTACCTTTTTTTCTGTAGGACGCAATGAGCCCCTGAAGAAAGATAAGCCCAAGTGGAAAAGTTAATATCCTATGACAGAGGGCCAGCTGCGCAGTAAAAGAGATGAATTCTGGGACACGGCCCCAGCTTTTGACGGCCGTAAAGAGATCTGGGATGCACTAAAAGCTGCAGCTGTAGCGATTGAATGTAATGACCATGAGCTGGCACAGGCTATTGTAGATGGAGCCAGCATCACACTGCCTCATGGTAAACATTTAAACAGCATTTTAATATACAGATCTAGTGAAAATGCTTATGTTTTGCATTTTGTGTAATACAACTTTTTTTCCTTACAAAATTATATTTGTATAATTCAATTTGTTTTAAAGGAATTAATAATTTTATTCAGCAAAAATGTAATAAAAATTCGTTATATGTAAAAATATATTTTTCCTATTAATGCTGTTCATCCCAGACTCCTGCTTTTTTCCCGGTTTCCACAAAAACATTAACCATTTTTAACATTGATAATAATATGAAAAGTGATTTGAGCATCAGATCAGCAAGTTAAAATGATTTCTGAAGGATCATGTGACACTTAAGACTGGAGTAATGGCTGATTAAAATTGAGCTTTGCCATCACAAGAATAAATTACATTTTAAAATAATTGAAGCTTTTGATTTGCTCTTTCAGGGTCCCTTATGGAGTGCTATGATGAACTGGGGAACCGCTATCAGCTCCCTGCATACTGCTTGGTTCCTCCAGTCAACCTTGTGTCCGAGTGCAATGATCATAATGTGTCTGAACACTCTGAGCTACAGGAGAAGAAGGAGAAGGAGTTCCAACTGAAGGTGCGTCTCTCCACCGGAAAAGACCTTCGCCTCAGCGCCACGATGGCTGATTCCATCCGTCAGCTGAAGAAACAGCTTCAGATTCAGGAAGACATTGATGCCACCAACCAGCGCTGGTTTTTCTCTGGAAAGCTACTCACGGATAAAACACGTTTACAAGACACCAAGATCCAGAAGGACTTTGTAATACAGGTCAATGTTAATCAGCCCATTGTTCCCAACTAAACACAAAAAACTGTGAAGCGGGTCTCAGTGAACTCACACCATACGAATGCTTTATATGTTTCCATTATATAAAGCCACTGATTAGGTCTGAGTTTCAACACCTGTCCTTTCCAAATATGAAGCTCAAACATTTCTTACAGAAACATCTATTTTCTCAAAGCTACGAGGAGATGAAAAGGCCAAATATACATGCAAATGTAAGCATGTGTCAAATGTGTAAAAAATTATTTATTTAAGGATTTTATTTCAATATGATATGATGAAAATGATTAAAAAAGCTATTTCAAAACATGTCAGTCTATGTATCAGTGCAGATACCAGTGCATGCTTTATTTTTAACCATGCATTGATCAACAACCTATAAATATATATTTCTGACAAAGAACTCTGGTTTCTTTTCCTAATGTCAACTTGTCATATGTCCTGTTATGTGTGAGTAAGTGGAACCCTTTTGTCATCTTTTGATCTTAAAATATTTTAATAGTATACAAGTTAAAGCAGGTTGGAAATATAGTTTATTTTAAATGGGTGCCAGGCCATGTTTGAATTAAGGGAAATTAAGATGTAGACAACATGGTAAAGATTCTTTAAGGAAGGACAACCCAAATATTAAAATCACACTGCATTTGGGATACATCTTTACAAAATACAAAGGAACAACAAACAAAGTAAAATCAATAATATCAGTAGAGAGAGACAGAATAATTTATTACATTTGAGAATGGGACAATTTAAACTTTATGGTACTCTACATGTTATGAGGAAACATTGTTTATGTGGTGAATTTATGGAAGCTGAGACAGTAGAGCATGGTTGAATGGTATCTCCTAAATATGAAAAAGAACGGATGAAAACAATGAAAGAATTAGGAATTTCTTGTCATCATGAATTAAAAATTAATCTTAAACAGCTGTCAAGGAGCAGGGATAATAATTAAAACTGTTATGAGATTAATTAGGAACAGTGTGATTTTAAACATAGGATTTAAGGATATAAAATCAAATCGTGTGTTTAATATATATATTTTTTCCATACTCACGCACAGTAGATGGCGGTAGGCAACTGTTAAGTTGGTTCACGACATTCTAATAAACCCACCGAAGAAAACGATGAAGACATCATGGATTTTTTTAAATGGAAGGATTATACAGGTAATGATAGGACAAGTATTATCAAATCAATATATTGTAGAAAACGGGACACCACAAGGGAGTGTAATTAGCCCAATTTTATTTTCCATCATGATTAATGGTACTTTAAATCACAAGGTGTTTTTTTAATTCCTGACAGCAGGACTGTCCTTGTTTTGACTGTATTCGTGACATAACATTGTGTTGTGATGATCTGAATGTGAGATTCATCAAACATCTGTCTATTTAAACAGAAAAAAGTGATCTGACAGTAGATGCTTTGAAACTCCACAATGAGCTTCAGACAGGATCTCTGCAGAAAAGCAGTGATGCCATGGAAGCAGGAGATGCCATGGAGGATCAAGCCCTGACAGAGAAAACCTCTGGGACTTTTCTTAGTGGACTGTCGGACTGCTCCAACCTCACATTTAGAAAAGTACAGCGCTACTGGGAGTCGAACTCTGCGGCACATAAAGAGGTTTGTATTCAGTTTCATGGTTAGAGAGTGGCATCTTAGGTCATTATTACTATATTATCGTTAAAGGAAAAGTTGAACCAAAAATTCAATTTTACTGAATTTATTGCCCTCAGGCCATCTTAGATGTAGATGAGTCTGTTTTGTTCTCTGGAACAGATTTGGAGAAATTTAGCTTTACATCACTTGTTCACAGTGGATCCTCTGCAGCGAATCGGTGCCGTAAGAATGAGAGTTAAAACCGCTGATGAAAAAAACATCACAATAATCTACAAGTAATCCACACGACTCCAGTCCATCTGGTAACGTCTTATAAAGGGAAAAGCTATGTGTTTGTAAGACAAAAATCCTTCATTAAGGTGGTTTAACTTTAAACCGTCACTTCTGGCCAAAATACCAATCCATAATAATGAAAAAGCTGCATGTTTGTAAGACAAAAATCCTTCATTAAGGCAACAACAGAGGATGAACTTTTTCACTGGAGGAAGCATTATTATGGATTGGTATTTTGGCCAGAAGTGATGGTTTAAAGTTAAAAACCATCACTTATGGCCAAAATACCAATCAATAATAATGCTTCCTCCAGTGAAAAAGTTCATCCTCTGTTGTTCTCTCGCATCAAAATCCACTGACATATTAGTTTTGAACTGTTTTGGACTGTTTTGGCTTGTAAACGGTGCTTAATCTGTGCATATTTCCCTCCTGATACAGACGAGTCATCTTTTTCACTGGAGAAGCAATATTATGGATAAAGTACTATTATTTTAGCCTGAATTTAAGTTAAAAACATCTTGATGCATTTGTTTATTACAAACACAGCTTTTTACTTCACAAGATGTTAAATGATGAACTGGCCTTTTGTGTGTTACTTGTAGATTATTGTGATGTTTTTTTCAGCTGTTTGAACTCATTATGACGGCACCCATTCACTGCAGAGGATCCTTTGGTGAGCAAGTGATTCAATGCTAAATTTCTCCAAATCTGTTCTGATGAAGAAAAACTCATCTACATTTTGGATTGCCTGAGGGAGAGGACTTTTTTTTTTTTTCTTTAGCAAATTTTCATTTTTGGGTGAGTTATTCCTTTAAGTTGAAACCAGATGGCGTTTAAGTGATGTCTTCTTTTTCTACAGATCTGTGCTGTATTGGCAGCTGTAACCAAAGTGATTCGCTCTCAGGGAGGAAAGGAGACAGAGTACTTTGCAGCCTTGGTAAATTAAAGTCACCATGAAATCAGTTTGTTTCATGACGACTTGGCTGTGTCGAAATGCTTAAGTGTCTACGCTTTTTGTGGATCAATCTTTCAGCTGTTGATCTGAATAAGTATATGTTCTTATCTTCTCAACGGTGCCTGCTGCAGTGCTTAATAAAAAGTTCTCTGACACGGCCAAGGCCTTCATGGATGTCATGACAAACCAAGCCAATTCTGACTCTTTGTCCTGCCTGCGATGGGTTTGTACCATAGACTGTATAAAAACATGTCATGGACGTAGTAACCCGTAGACTTCCGACGAGCGTTTTGAAGCCTAAAGTAGGCTTGCTGCTCGGTTTGTACACTCTTCTCATAAATCTAACACTTTGATCATCGGCAGAAGCTTTTTTTTCTTTTAATTAAATTAATGTACTATATTTTGTTTCAATAATATTATGTTTTATTTTGAGAGGATTTCATGGTACTTGACAGTATTCGCCTCTAAATTTATTTCTAGATAAAACAATACATATTTTAGGAAAGCATTTCATTTTTGATTAATACAATATTCTAGTTAATAATAAGTCAAAGGTATTTAAAATCTAATGCATGGAAGGTAGATTAGACATTATCAAAGAATACTTCATGGCTGATTTGTAAATTGTGCACCAAAATACTGCTATGTATTGTGTTTTTCTTATTCATATTAATTTCCTGTAGCAATCGCTTTTGACTGCAGAGATCATAATTGTGACTTTTTTTTTAAAGACCATTTAGTCTTTTCTAATGTCCATGATTTATTTTGTTCATATAGCAAGCGCCACACAAGTCACTGTTAATTCAAAGCTTGTTAATTAAAAATTTTTTTTTAATCTAAAATGACTGAAGATCACCAGAGGGGAAATGTATGTAATGAGATTGTGATGTGAGGAGGAAGTCTGCTTTGTGTCTCTGCTTATTATTTTACATTTTTATATTCTAATTTGGTCGCTTCTGTATTCCTTTGCAGATCATACATATCCTGTCTAGCGACTTTGCTGCGTAAACAGGATCTGTCAGTCTGGAGTTACCCTTCAACTCTGCAGATGTACCACGGCCTTTTGAGCTTCACAGTGCACTCCAAACCAAAGGTCTGTCTGTTTGATTCCCATTCAGTCAGAGTTGGAATGCTTCTGTTGATATAAGATTCCTTTTGTGCCATTTAAGATTTTAATCATACTATCCACCACTAATTGTTATAGTAATACACAATGGAAACACTATTTTTGTACTCGCATTAGAGAGTGACTGATTATGATTTTTTTGAGGTTTCTGAATGATGTTTGTCCATGTGCTGCAGGTGCGAAAAGCAGCACAGCAGGGTGTTTGCTCAGTCCTTCGCTACAGCGACTTTGTGTTCTCAGATAATGCCCCGGTCCATCACCCAGCAGCAACCGCCACAGCCAAATTCTGCTGCAAAGAATTGGAGCAGTCAGGAGGTCAGTAAACTCATGTTCTTACTGTCGAAATGCTCAAAACGAACAATAACACCTGCTTGTGATACCAGGTGAAATTATCCAGCATCCGAGGCTACTACTACTAATAATTTAAATATAAAATTAATAAAATTAGGAAAATCAGCAACAGTGCGTTTCTGTGAAGAACCCAAGTAACGGACAGATGCATAGTTCCTTGATCTTTTTTTTTAGTGTGTAAATTAATAATTTTATTTTTCAAAGGCATTTAGTTTTAGATAAAACATACAATTCAAAGTTTAAAATCAAACTGCATGAAGTTATTGCGTAAGCAGTTTTGCAGCAAAAATGGTCCCATAGCACCTCCTAGTGTCCTTCACACTTATATAACTGGGCCCAAAATGTTTTTTTTTCTCTCTTTAATTTTATAGAATGAAATAATCTTCCACTTATTGATTGAGTGATTGTCTTTCTATCCAACTCAAGGCAGCAAAGAAGACACTACCACTCTCCACGTGCTTGGTCTTCTAAAAGACCTGCTGTCTGCATTTCCTCTGAGCTTTGTAAAATCTTGCTGTGAGACCCTTCTCCGTGTGATGACCCTGAGCCATGTGGTGAGAGACCAGTTTAACAGATACATTTTCATTTAAAATGGATAAATCCGTTTTTGTTGACTTATCAACTCTTAACACCTGCCTCTGTTTCTCTGAAGCTGGTAACGGCAAATGCAATGCAGGCTTTCCACAAGCTCTTCAGTAGCAAGCCTGGTCCTGCCAGTATGTCTGCAGAACTGAATGCACAGATCATCACAGTGAGTATTATAATCGACAAACACATGCACATGATATCAGAATTATGTGATTCTGCATTTTAATTTCCTAATGTGTGGATTGACACATGTTTCAACACCTTCCTTCCAGGCTTTATATGACTATGTTCCAAGTGAGAACGATCTGCAGCCTTTACTAGCATGGCTTGCTGTAATGGAAAAAGCCCATGTTCATCTTTCCAGGTAGGCCTTTTTCAGCACTTATTCTTTTGTTTGCTGCCTTTGTGAGGAATCTTGGTCATTATATATAGTATATATATCATGTTAATTTTT